CTCCTCTACTGGAGTGCGAGTAATAAAAAAAAGAAAGGATGTCATAAATCTTAAATACAACCTGACAAAACTATTTTTCGGGATAACCCCGCGAAACGTCAACCATGGTATACGCCCGAAGTATTTACAGATATTTTGCGCCTGAATATTAAACTTATCTGTAGGTCTTCTTTGTCAGGCGCGGCCGAGATGTCCTCATCTCCGGTCAAAAAGTGGGCAGTAGTGGGCACGTCACTGGGTAGGGGCTGCTAGCCTCGTTGCCAAAAATTATGGTAGTAAAAAAGACCCTAGAGGGAGAAAGACTGTTTAAACATCTAATCTACTCTCTCTCTGAGATAAAACTACTCATTGAAAACAATCGCACCTGAAGCAAAACCATGTACATTTCTTTGTACAATAAAAGTAAAGCAAAGGCAAAAATAAGGTAAAAATGTACTTATGTTCTAAAAAGTTATGGCAGCTCAAAAATCAAAATCGTGATCAATGTAATAGAAGGTGCCCCCATATTTGAATACGTAGAATGTTCAATAAAATCAAGAAGTCTCTAAGAATTTCAATAAGCAATAATAAATGTATAAAGATCTATGAAATTGTTAATTAGAATGATATTTTACCTGTTCACATCAGGTTTTTTTTCAAGGGGATGGCTTCCACCAATTTGCAAAACTGCAACAAGATGCAACCAACTGGAGGAGAAAGGATGATGATTCTTTTCTGTTTCTGTTGACTAAAAGAAAGCAGGTATTGAACGAACGTCATCAGGACACGCATTAAGGCACGTGGTCCGAAGGTATATAAAAAAGAACTTACCGCTGAGGTTCAAAATCCCACAAAAAAATAGAAGACCAAGCACCCAAACCAAAATGACTAAACTTAAAAGGGTGCTAGTCCATGAATTGACGCTTGGGGCCTAATATCCCAGAGTCCCGAAAATGACGAATCGACCCCTGCACCACGACCTCAACGGAAATAGAAAAGCGAATCACGCAGAACACGTAACCTTCCAGAAGAAGGTATCTTGAGTGGCCTTGAAGAAGATATATTTTATAGGAAACCAACTAACGGAGAAAAACTACAGAGTTTTTTGCCGATCGTCAACATCTCATTGAATCGCTGAGAAAGAAAGATATAATACCAGCGAAATTATACGATCAATAAACTATTAAATTTGCCAAAATAAAATCATTGAAAAGGGTTTGGCCTAGGAATGGGCAATCTAGTGTCAATGAAGAGAAATTGAAATTACGGATAAGTGATAAATAGTAAAAAAAAGTTACGTGATTTTGGCACGTGACATGTTACCAAAAGCCTTTTTATAACTGCATGCTCGTTTGGATGAGATGTGAATATACTCAAGGCCCATAAGCGCAACTTAACTATGGTGTGTTTTTCAGTAATCGTCTTACGATCCTTCTGCATACAGGCTCACATTTATATACAAGTTCCTAGGTGCGAATATTCTACCCTCATCGCATATTTTGGTCTTACAACAAGCTGAATATAGATATTTTTCACTTAAGTAACTTAGCATAATTATAGAGCTTTAAATAATATCTTCAACTAGAATTCCTCTCCATAATCTCGCAGATAAAGTATAATATTTGTGTTTTGGGCATGTGACTGTGGAATGTACTTCTTTGGAAGCTAGTATGTGTACTTTATACGTAAAAGCAGTGTTTAATCTGTTAGTTTATGGACAGGTTGCGCGTCGGACAGTACGACAAGCAGGCGCCCACTACAAGCAAGATAGTACTATCTTTCAGGGGCGCACGGAAATCGAAGAAATATACATTAGTACGCATAATAGGAGTCTGCTCAGTTTTTTGATAGTACGTAGCAAAATAAAAGCCCAGCTAGTTAACTGAACTTGACTTACAATATACGGGTGAAAGTTGAAACATTTTTCTACAAACAACTAAGACAAAAACAATGACAACAGCTTATGTGCTATGAAATAACGAAAGCGTAAGAGGAATGTTGAGGAATTAGCAGCATCTTGAGATGGGGTTCACAGGGTATTTGATATTGTAGAAAATAATCTTTTTAGACTAAGCTTAATAATATTAATAAATTACTCCAGTTTTCATAGAGTTACAAATCATATGAGAACTGTATCGAATGGTGGTATCTAAAGCATCCTTAACTTACTAGTTGAAGATTCAGGGCGTATTTCAGTAATTCAATCAAGTACAAGCACTTTTTTATTTGAGCTCTTACAAAGACAGATGTGTTCGAATATTTTCTGTAACTTTTTTATTGTGTTTTGAAAAACGAGTACGAATTTGTATATTTACTTATCACTTGTCTCTCATTCTTACACCCAGATTCAAACTGTTTGAAACTCGCAGAGTTTTCCCGTCACTGAAATATAGGAAAGATGCCCGTTACTAAAGACAGACATTTGTATTGTATTACGTATGAGTTCCTGAACACTTCGACAAGCTCTGGTAGTAAAGAGCGTCTTAAGATTGTCATTGGATCTTAAGACGTGAGAAAGGGACGCATAGTTTCCAGGTTTGTATTCAAAAATAACTTTGGGACCAAAATGGAAGATCGAACGGAATACCAAAGGCACAACCAGCACGGGGAAATTACCTATTACCTAGTACACAGATGGATCAAAAACTAAGCAGGGAACAGGTGCATGTATAATATGGGAACATGTAATCCTGGGTATAGAATGCCACTTGAAAGATACACATCTACATTTCAGACAGAAGTGTATGGCATCTTGCATTGCGGAAGAATAAATAAAGAGCGAGCGTACAATAATAAACGGATGCCCATATATACTGATAATCAAGAGTCATTCAAAGCGTTAGGAAGCATTAGAAACTTAACTTTGTTGATGATTCAGGGAACGCAGGCAACGAAAGGCAAGAAACCAGCACAAAGAACATTACTGCATGCAGGAATGGGAAAGAATTTGTCTCGGGAGGATGTTCAAATGCGACTGCGGAACCTCTCTTAATGAGTAGAAACCAATTCTGTGTAGTTACATGCCTCTTAAACGCACATACGGGCCTAAAAGAATCAACATAAGAACCTAAGGAGTACCGGCAGGAAAACTGTACCAACTGGTAGTGCTGGACCGGGTACTGTAAATCTGTAAATTCGAGGATCAAGGTACAATACGCTCAAAAGGTTGCAGTGCCATCGGGGACTTTGGTCGAACGGTTCCCGGAAAGAAAAAAGCACCTAATGAAATGAACTAATTTTGTGTCAAATTTTGATCCACTTGCCGTTTCATCGTTATATGTGCTGTAATTACATTATCCACAGCAATTTTGTAGTTTTTCACACTTTCTGATACGCCACTGGGATCGTAGAAAGTTGAAAACGGTCTGCGGTTTCGCTGCCACCGTCTAATAAGGAGATACGGCCTTCTGGTCGCCTTTTTCTTTCCTAAGGACCGTCAAACCAAATACAAAACATCCCAGAGGTGGAACGTTAATCTGGATGAAGGAAATTGGGTGTTTCGTGCGGAAAAGCCTTCCAGCTTGACGCGCTAGAGCGTCGTATCGCAACATGTGAGGCCAGTAGAGAAAAACGATGCGTCATGGGCGTGGGAAAAGGGTAGAAGAACACTCGTGGGCCAATAAGGTCTTTCTATACCCAAGAAAGACGAAATGTAACAGTTATGTACCAAAATCTCGTTATGTTCTACGTTTCCATTAGGAATCATTTATCAGAGCGGTCCACTGGACCTTTTCTAGCCTACATTTGTATAAATAAAGTACCTATAAATTTAACAAAAACATTGATTACTTTAAAGCACATTGACGAATAGCCCATTATTATTGTTTACAGTCATTCTATAAGCAAATGCAACATATTGTTTCTATAAAGTGGGCATAAAGATACTTCTAGAACGGGAATTAACAGTAATGAATTTTAACTTCCCGGGCCAGTAATAAATTAATTTCACAGAACATTCTTTTTTTTTTGTAATGTAGCAAGATAACAACTATATCGTCACCGTGAATGGAGGACATTGCAAAAAACATATACTCGTATTAAGGACTACTCCACGGAACACTAAATATAAGTCGATTAAATCAGCTGAAAATATTTGCACAGTGAGTTTCACCAGTATCAAATTTTTATCATACAAAAGTTCCTAATCTTTTGCCAACTATTGTAAAAGCAATATTTAATCTAGATCGTAATGTTGGCTGTATGCTAATAATTTTATCCGCATGACCTTTTCCGAGATAGTCCTTGGTTTAAGCAAATTAAACCAGGGCAGCTAAACAAGCTAAATTAGGAATTGCCTCTAATTACTTGTTGATATTACATCAGAAGCTTTATAATTTGAGGGGAATGGTACCCACTTCACATCTGCACTTGCAATCAAAAGTTGTAGATGTTAATAGTCCTTGACATACCACCGGGCGGTAAAGTAAAATTTATGAATAGGTTTTCGGGCGTTAAGTTCCACTTAACACTTTAGCGCATCCTATCTGTATGCTCATCAAACCCGAGCAAGGCCTGTATTTATTTGTTGCTAGGCATTGTCGCTAAGTGATTTAGTATGGCTAATTTATTCATTTTATGCCCAATTAATCGCTACTCTAAATTTTTGACTTAGTCATCGATAAAATTTTCTGTATATCTCCGGCGTAGTCAGCGTTCATGTTTTTTGGCATGTTAAAGCCTGAGGCACTTCGCACCTTGGCGACAATTTCATACCGCCGACCATAATGATTGCATTTATTTTGGTAAAGGTAAGGTAAATACACATTATAGCAAGAAAGGGAAAATGAAGTACTTGAGGTATAATCTCAAATCTGAAAAGTAAAATGGTTGAATTCTCATAATCTTCTAAAAACTCCAGGCCGTTCTATCACTGATATTGGTTCCATTAGCATCACAAATACTGGTCGATAATGGTATCCGTTGAGCAGTACTATATCGGACAGGACATATCATATCTCTAAAGTCCCACGATCATAAAATACCTACTTATCCAAATTATTAAATTTGATTTTTTCTTGCAGATCCGGACATCATTCAAGATATTGTGCCACAGAACGTCATTGATGAGGAGGAAAAAAGCATCAAACGTGAGTCGTATATGAAATATATTTATTTAACGAATATAAGACCAAGCTCATAGAATTGTATAGACAACCTTGAAACCATATGATCCAATCAAATTTATGTTTTAATTCAGTTGAACCAGAAATATATCTTCAAATGCTGCCTTAGTACCGTGCATCACAATTTTATCTATATCGAAGTTCACTGAGACTACGCGATGACAAAAATGTCAACACACTAACGGTCACGCGAATTTTAATTTCGGAAATTCCTAAAAATATTCAAATCAATTATCAGTCTTACATCCATATAATTCATTCTAGATTACGCAGCCTTACTGTCAGGAAGATCCTCCCTGGACCTCAAGAACGACAGTATGACCCACGACCTGAACAAAAACAACGTCGTAGCAACCGGAAGATTCACCTTCCACAAAAAGAACCTACACTATTCCTTCTACATCTCAGAGAAGGCAGCACGACCTAGAACTTTGCAATTCTTGGACAGTGTAGGCAACATCCTAGAAGAGTTCACCCTCTCCCATGCTGGAGGTTTGGTGAACAGTTTGTACCAAAACGCCACCAGAAAGGTAAGAATATCAGAAAAAAGGAATCCCTCACGGTTCAACCTTGGGGCTACTCTTATAGCATATGTCAACCTAGAACTTATAATCAGGTTATTTAGTTTTTAACCTGTTCTAGCTTTACTTCAATTTTCATTGCAGAACCTGATTGTGTGCTTTAACGAGAAATTATTGTTTTAAGGTATGTGGTGTATGGAAAAGGTTACCAAAGGACTACCGAAGGCTGTTGAAGCAAGAACGAATGTACGTCGTTCTAATCTGGGGAGCAAAGGACGCTGAGTTCACCTTGAGTGGCAAACTGAGCAGATACGTCGCCCTGGCAAGTGAACAGTTCAGCTCTTTGCTGGAACCAGCGCCTGGTACTGATCCAACATTGATGGCGGGTGCAGGCGGTACTGCAATTGTGTCAACATCGTCGTCTGTGTCGCCATCGATACACGTGGCCATCATCTTCAACGGCTTGTTTACTCCTGACGATTACTTGGAAGTGCCGCTCAATATCACCATGACCTTGGACGAGAAGAAGCAGATCGTGCTGCAAGAGGTGAGTAAAAAACAAGATACACAATATTATTCCGTATGTCCTGAAGGTTGGGACGTTCGTATCCGAAAACGACAAATAACAACGGTAAAACAACAACGAAGACGTAAAACAGACATCAATCCAAATTACTAGCTAGTCAGTTAATAATACATTTCGAGCACATGTGACATGTTGCTCGCATTATTCGAAGTTTTTGACACAAATTGTTTAACATTTAGGTATCTAGGTATTCAAATCTTCCCTCCTTCACGTTCCTACAAATGGCATTTGGAGGAAATAAATGAAATAAGAGAGCTCGGGATAAAAACATCCGAGGAAATACTCACGACTTCGCTATTGCAATAGGAATGTGAAAATTTTGGTTTATTCAAATCCGAATTAGAAACAAACAGCCTGGTTAACCAGCAGACTGCCCAGCGTCTGGGTTAGATACTCACTCATCGTACCTTTCTACGGTGGACTCAGGGCCGGACTGACCAGCTCTGGTTTTTATGTGATCGTAAGGCTGCTCTGTACGCGTTACTAGGAAAATGTTACATAAATTATACTTTGGGAGGAAAGCCCCAACTTTAAGGACATCCTATATATTATTTAAGATGCATTTTTGCCAAAACATCGCATCTTGAAGAAGTTGGAGAGAGTTTGTTAATAGAAAAAATAAAGCTTCATTCACCTCATAGCCGTCGTATACCAGGGAGGATGAAAACTTATTATTTGTGAAAAACATGTGAATAAAGCCTTTAAAAATTACTACAAATTAGTAATACGCCAGCCTTTCTGAAGGAGAGAAAAGACTACGAAAATCAAGGAGGTCATAGAGGCGTCCAACAACTGTAGGAATGACTGGCAATACGGCCCTTCTGATAGGTGTTCGATGTTAGTGTTGACTTTGGTGATAATAAACAGCTGGAATAATTTATCATCTCAAAAAAGCGTTTCTACAGATAAGCTGTTTTGCTTGAATTTCATCATACATTATTCTCTAGTCTACAAGCAAACACAAAGTATGGCAACTTCTCTAAAAAAGAGAAGCAAAAAATACAGTTATTGATTTTTTTTAAATTCACGCATAAATCCGCTGGTATATAAGAATTCCTCTCCCCTTTTATAAAACTGAAAATCCTCCAGCATTCTATATTTCATTTCGCTCTTTATTTCACGATATTAACGGGTGTTCCACAGTGGCCAATTTGTATACACCCCTGTTTCATCTCCAGTGCCTCAATACTCATTCTCAATAAAGGCTTTCTTGCAGGACGTTCGAGTGCACAAACCGGCTACCGACCTGAACCTCGTCGAAGTCAGCTCTCCAGTAACACAAGCCCAACTGCGACTGATCAGCAGAGGTCGCATCCTGCTCTCCATATCATCCGTTTCCAAACCAGATGCAATGAGGCTGAGTGGAAATGTGATCACCAAGGCCACCTGCGAACTGTTCCAGACCACGCTGGCTTCTAGCCAATCAGAACACGAGGCAAAACCACATGGCACGACAGGATTGGCTTGGATGTACCTCAACAACCAAGGGGCGCTCATATACAGTGTTCAAATTGACAATCTGCCTAGTGCTCAGCAGTATCCCATCATTACGCTTGTGGATATGAGTACTAAGAGGAGAACCGAACTTGAGGATTTAACACCAAATTTCCATGATGGATGGGCAAATGGTGAGTTTCTTAGACGCATTTTTTACAACCTCGCGGAAAAATGCACGTTAGTGCTCGTGGACTACCACGCAAGCCTGATGCTATCGAAGACTGAATCGAAGTGGAAGCTCTAGGAGTCGAGAGCGACATCGTATCAAAAACGATACTCTAGTTCTCCTCGACAAAATTATAGTCTACATGTTGTAAACGACAGCGATTTGTGAATATTTTAAATGAAGTTTCAGATATGCTAGACAGAGACAAACAGAATTTTATTGTCTAAATAAACTGTATTGCTAATACGCATGTATCCGACAAGGGTAGACGATGTTTTCATGTTGCATGATCGATCATATTTAAAAGATGAGTAGTTAGGTTATGTTAAAGCAAGTTAGGTTGTTTTCGAATAATACTTTGGTCTTTGGTGTTTCTGTCTTAAGGTATTCTAATCATAACTGTTTTTTTTCAAAACTCCGCAATAAGATTATTATTACTCAAAACCATGAAATAAAATGAAAATAAAAATAATCAGTGAAATAACCTAACTTCGCAAAATCATAATATAAATTTGTTGTCATCAATCTTGACATCGTGATTTTATCATCGACGTACGTCTATTGATTACGTCAGTACAATTTATGGTATGACGTAAGGGTCATCTTTCGTGATTCTGACTATATCAGAATGGCAATCCCAAAAGACAAAGTGACATTGAGTGAAGTCATTTTCTTTCATGACAGTTGTGAAAGTTCAAACGTGATCGTACAGCCGGCAACAGTATACATATTTCAGAAATCGTGCATTAACGCTCGTGCGGAGAGGAAAGAGATTATGTATAAGCTGTTCAAAATCAGGACATACAAACAGTTTATAAAACCCTTTCAAAGTGCAATCTCAGAAAGATTCGACAATTCCCGTGAGCTTATTAGATCCGTATAAAATAAATGAGGCATTCATTTCAATTTTCGAGAAAAGTGATTTGAGTTGTGCTGATAAAATTGCATAATACAGCTTCGGCACTCTGTGATTCAACAGACAATATAACAATGGCACTTGATAACCAAAAAGCAGTAGCTCTCATACTTCTTGATTTTACTAAAGCATTTGACACCATTAATCACTCACTTCTTGTGTCTAAATGCAGTTATTATGGATTCTCTGAAAAACCTCTTTCGTTTATTCAAACCTACCTTGAAAATCGGTATCAAAAAGTTCGTCTAAATCAACAGTACTCTACCGAACAAAAAAATTGTTCTGGTGTACTACAGGGATCAGTCTTAGGGCCCCTATTATTTTCATTATATATCTCAGATTTAGAAACAGGTAAAATCATGCAGCATACAATTTTTTGCGGACGATACTCAAATTTTCTATTCATTTAGGAGTAATGACTTGGAAACAGCAAATAATAAAATTAATCAAGATCTTGCCCAAATTGAAAAGTTCAGTAGTAGTCATAATCTTCGTTTGAACCCTTGGAAGACAAATATGTTGGTATACGTAAATAGAACAGAACAGAAAATAAATTAGTTCCTGTGGATCATTCGAAGAACCTAGGTATTATAATGGATGATGACTTAAAATTTGTTGCACCCGTAATCTATCTGATTTCTCAGTGCTACGCTATTCTCAGAGTTTTATTTACAAATAAGGCTATTTTACATAAATCTGCGAGGAAGCAATTGTGTGAATATTTCTTGTTTTCAAAGATATCGTATTGCTAGTGGTTTACTATCCCTATTTAGATATTATAACAAGAAATCGTATTCAAAGTATTATGAATACATGTTGCAAACTTGTAAATGGTCTCAGAAAGTATGATCAGATATCGAATGCCATTGATGAACTCAACTGGATGAAAATTAATAAAATGTATAAGTACCAGCTCCTAAATCTGACTCATTAGATTCTTTATTCAAAACCACGGTCATATTTAATAAACAAATTCATACGTAGAGGGAATATGCATGGCATTAATATTAGACATAGAGAGACTTTTTCAATTCCACGCCACAGCACATCTTTATTTCAGAATACATATATTTACAATGCGATCAAATCGTATAATTCTTTAGACCGCAGTTTAAAAGAGACCAATCCATTACCCAAATTCAAGAAAAAAGTGAAAAAAGTTCTACTTGTTCAACAGTGAAATCTGTTGTAACCCATAAGTGACCTTATATTTTCCTTATTCCTTTACTTAGGTTATACTTTATTGTTTCGTTATTGTATACAGGTATTAATATTTTCAACAAATTCTGTTTTTTTTACATCTCGTATTGTTAAGGGGGTTAGATGGTAGAATAGATATATTATCTAAATCTCGCCTCCTGTAAGAGTATTACAAATAAAAGACGTTAATTATTATTATTATTATTATTATATGCGTGGTACGCTAACAGCTCACATTGTAGCTGCTAAATAAAGTAAAAGCTTTTCGGGACTAATACCCTGTACAAGCATTGACAGTTACAGCAAGCTGAGTGATACATTTCCTTATTGGCATCAACAACAACAAAAGTAAAACCGGTTAATTGTGAAATTATATTTTACGATTATTTGATCTCGGCATTGTAGCAAGGTTTGCATCAATAGTATAATATATAATAATATAGTTATCAAGATAAGAAAACATGTTTGCTTCAAAGTTCGTATGTACTAAAGCTTATTGTGAATTGATTCATGAGAAATCAGTCTGTTGTCGAGATCTGTGTGTACTTGGAGAGATAACGTAAATAAAAAGATAAACTTACACCGTTTGAATAGAGGCGCGATAGGAAATAGCGAGTTTAGAGATCATAATTTCTGTTTTAGAGCCATTGGTGTCGAATATCCTTATAGAGATAAAGTTTATTATTATTTATGCAATTTTATTGCTTCTAAAGTGGTGTCTGAACAGGTATACCATTATGAACCATACAAGTATTACTGTTGAATAGTAACGATTATTAACCTTGCACATGTTTCAAACGACCTTACTATTATGACTGTCAGGGGCAACATTATGCCTTTGAATTTTCATGAAATATACAGATTGTTGCAGAACTATTCGACGTTAAGGGGTGTTTAGACTTGCACGTCTCTGACAGATTGTAGTCCACTTGTTTTTTGAATAGTAAGTGCCGTGTTTTATTCAGATTGAAAAGTGTTCTAATACTGATTAAGATACTGGTTAATAGTATAATTTTTATATCTTACACGGTACCCCTGAAATAAAAATTAGAAGGCAGTTTCCAAGTACAATCAAGCCGGCTTTTAAATACTGATACTGATTTTTTTAAAAAGCAGTAGCGTACTGATTTTTCGCCAATCATGGGCATGTTGATACGAGCGGTTCAGATAACAACTTGGTATATGGTACTGTGAGCTTTGATAATACACTTGTGTGTACCAAAGCTCATCTCAATGTCTGAATTGGTTTTCGAGAAATGTAAGCACTTCCAGACCCTTGTTACCGTATGAACTTTTTTCATATTGTAAAGTGCCTTTCAATTCTATAGTACCCTGTAGAAACAGATACAACGTCGTAGTAGGCTGACGATTTCTTAAAAGTGGTCATCACAAACAACTCTAAAGCTTTAGCATCAGTATTTTTAACCACTCATTGAGTCTTGTTCCACTTGATAGGCAATGTTCGTTGCTTTGACTAAAAGAAATGTTTTCGGTTTTCATCAACTCTTGTCTAAGGTTTTTTGACTAAAACGTTAGTGTGCTATTTGCTTTTTTTTTGGAAAATAGAATTGTTTTCTTTTCCAAATGCCTAGATTTTTAATCTATTTGACTTAACTGGGAAACAAGTCAAGCTCAGGTGAAGTATTAGATATTAGCAGTCTGATATCAAGTCAAGTAGTTTTTGTGTCTGTCTGACAAGTACTTGAAAATTCAGATAGTCTTGATGTTACCTGATAATTTCTGTAATATAAATACGAGTAGATTATGAATACACAACGAAAAAAAACACTTTACTTAACGGACATACTTTATTTGTCGCAAGTTTCAAAGGAAACATTACATATTCAACAAAATAATTTGCTGATTGAACAACAAATAATAGAAGGATAAAACTGTAAACTCAAATAGAAAAAAACATTTCTTCATCAGCTGATAGGCAAAAACGAAAAGTTCTGAATCAGCTTTTCATCTGCTAATCACAAGTTAAGACACATGAGGGTGCAAACGGATTTATCGCTTAATCAGTTGCGGGTTTCCGTAATGTTCTGTGCAGCCCTAGAATATTCCCTTTCAGTGGACGCTGATATTGCAGGTGCCGATAAAAAATCCCTTGCTATTAAAACTAGATATGGGAATATATTTTCATGCACATTCCATGACTTGTGGTTATTTGAATTAAAATATAAAATACGGTAAATTGGTTGTAGAAATAAATGTCACTGAAGGCCTTTCGTAGAACAAAAATATAATTTACAATCAGTACCAAGTACAGTGGACCTCCGGTAATCCGACAAACATTATGCGGGGCAGTGTCGGACTATCGAATTTGTCGGATTATATAAGATCCCCTATAGTCCGGAATTTTTTACAAAAGAGTACCTTGTAATCCGACAAATTACATATCCAATGGTAAGATTATATATGTTATGTATATGTATGTACTTTGAAGTACAAATCATACAACAGAGAGCTTACGTTTTATTATAAAATTAAGCATAAATGCACATACATATGTACCAAAATAATCAAGAATTATTAATCAAAACCATTAATGAATTTAGCAAATTATGAATCTTGGAAATATTCATCATTTTTTTTTTGTTTAAGGTTGTTATAACGCGAGATCAGAGCTTTGTCCCTCAGTCTTCTCAAAAGTAAAAGTTCGTTGTAGCATGTACCATTCTCTTCAACACATTGTAGATCTAGCTCAAAGGCGTTAATTGTGTCTTGTGCTGTGACTTGTGGAGCAGTTGCAATCACGTCGTAGTTATTTTCCTGAGTGTTTGTTGTACAATTAGAAACCTCTTTTGTAATCTCTTCGTCACACATTTAATGAAAAACATTTTCCTCTTTATCCATTTCACGGCACCAGATTTCCAAATCTTCCGGACTTATCTGTGTTTCAGCAGCGACTTGTTCTATAACTTCCGAAGTTTCACTGATTTGTGGAACGTTGCTAGGAGTGGTGACTATATGTGGCCATAACTTTTCTTTTTCCAAGACGATTTAATAGTTGATGACGGTAACGCATTCCACGACTGACAAAGAGCAAAAACCAAGTCTTTCATATTAAACTCTTTTAAAGTTTTTTGTATTGGTTGGTCTTTTGATACGGCTCTCAGAAGTAGGTTTTTCTTATAGTCTTGCTTGACAAACTGAATGATATTCTGGTCCATTGGTTGAATCAGTGCAGTGCAATTTGGCGGAAGAAACATCGCAGTGATGCATTTATCCTCAGTGGTTAGTTCTTCTTCAGACGGATGACCGAGAGCGTTATCAAGAAGCAACAACGCTTTTTGAGGAAAATTATGTTCTTCTAACCATTTTCTAACTTCAGGTACGAAGCATTCACCAAACCACTTTTTGAAAAGGTCTTTTGTCATCCATGCACTTTTTGTCCGTAATAGTGTACAGGTAAATCAATGTTTTTGAATGCTCGTGGTTTATTAGATCTCCCAATGACCATCATATTAAGCGCGTGTGTGCCCGCAGCGTTAGCACATGGTAGTATGGTTACACGCTCTTTACTCACTTTTCGTCCAGGTACGGATTTTTCGTTACAAGAAACGAAAGTTTTGTTAGGCATCACACGCCAAAAAAGCCCTGATTCGTCTGCATTGTACACCTGTGACGGGTCCAGATTTAAATCGTTCACCTTTTGCAAAAATCTTAATTTAAAGGGCTCTATGCAGGTGGCATCGTTAGAAAGTTTCTCTCCTGTAATAGTCATTAAACGTATGCCATGACGACTTTTAAAACGTTCTAGCCATCCTTTGCTGGCCACAAAATCATTTTTTTTTGTTATTTCCTATAAAAAAACTTGGCTTTCATGGCCAACATGAGTCCTGAAATTGGTGCATGAATATTTTTTTCCTGAAGAAATCACATGTACCAAGCTTCTTCCACTTCTGGATGTTCAGCTTTCTTGAGTGTCTGTCTCTTGCCTGGCCCGCAGTCAGTAGTTGGCACGTACTTCTTGATCTTTTCGTAGTTTCTTTTAATGTCATAAATTGTAGATCGCCCTACGCCGTATTCACTTGCTAAACTACTGAAAGTTTCATTGCGATTTAAGCGGTCTAAAATATCACATTTTTCTTTAATTGTCAATGTTTTGTGCTTTCGCTTCTGAGTTTGTGATGACATTACTGGGTCTATACTTAATATACAATGAATAAATAGTAAACAATGAACGCACGCTAGGCCGTACCGCTATCACCAGTAGTCAAATTCAAACTAAGTAAAACAATGCTTACGCGTCGAGCACGACAGCGGCGGCGCGTACAAGTTGTAACCTGTTCAAACCTGCGTGATCTACATTAGCGAAGATTGTCAAATACGTATGTATGTAATACATATTCAAAGACATGTCGGATTACAGGGGGCGCCGGATTAGACAGGGGCCGAATTATCGGGGGTCCACTGTAGTTCGAACATGCCTGACAAAGTCAAGGAGGTCAATGAAAAAAAGTCCAGTCAAGCATTAATGTTACCAGTAAGTTTAACTATAAAAATATCAAGCTAATTGCCTAGGTGAATCTCAAGATATAGCGTATAACTGTGGTAAGAAACAAACCTGAAGTACAAATGTGATAAGTAAATTTATAATCTTTGCGACAGAAATCTGTATTCCAAAGTTAGTTGCACCTGCTGACGGGTGGTGCCAGAAGTATTATCAGTGTATTTATCACTTACCACATATTCGAAGCTTCATCTTCTGATTATTGTATATAACTCATTTCGGTAAACAATTACCCACCATATTTGTTTACATGTGGAAATTACTCTTTACTGAAAGTGTTTTGACATGACTTATCGTTTCTTCCAGGCACTCTAGATAAGCTAAGCCCCAAGATTCTCGAGCCCCTATACTTCGGCAAACTAGACGTTACGGTAGCCATAGCGAACGATACCATTATCCATGGCCGTTTGACAGCCAAACCTGTCGCAGACGCCAGAGATGCACCCTCTCCAATTCTCCTCAAAAAAGGCAACTTCTCCCTTCCTGCATCCGCTGTTGGTTTGGCCTGGATCTCCGTGGACAATGACTGCCTCCTTCACTATGACGTCACGCTATCCGGTTTGGGACATGACAGGAAGTTGGAGCTGTACATGGAGTTGTATCCGATGATCGCCCCTGGAGCGCCGTATATACAGAAGCAGCTTGAGGAGTTTGAGGGCAATCAGGTAAACATGTGCGAAGCTAAGCGGTTGAAATGAATGTGATACTCACGTGTAACCTGGACGTCGGTAATTATAATAATAATAAACAATACGAAAATAAGGCAAACGTAAAACACAAAGTGGCAATAAAAGGTTAAAAAAACTTGATTTTAAAAACTAGATGAACAATAAAATAAGATGGTTAAAAAATTATGAAGTAGTAATGATTTTCTCAAGTTTGTATTCAAAAGTCCTCACACACGTCTGAAGAACGATAAAATGTAATACAAAAATAACACATACACAAAAAGCACAAACGAAAACAAAGTAACAAAACAAATAGTCAACAATTATGGAACAAAGTTGGTTAAATCATTATTTAAAAACTCATCTATGCTGTAAAAAGCTTTCGTCACTAGATATCTTTTCACAGTTGCTTTAAAAATGGTTGAGTTAAGTGTTTGACAAAAAATTCATTTGCAATGGACCTGGTAGTGGAGAAACGGTCCCTTAAGGCCAATAATCTTAGGCGGCGATCTTCACGGTCTGTTGTTCTACGGTGGCGTCCAGTGCCCCTTGCTCTTTGCGTACGGCCTTCTCGAAGCCATGCCTGACAACACCTAACCACAGTGTCTACACTTCTTTGCACTCTAACTGCAACTGCCTGAAAAGAAAGTCCAGCTTCCCGAAGTCCCACTATACGGCCCCTATCAAACTCACTAAGTTGACGAAATCGTACAGGTATCCGTACTCTAGGCATCGTAACCGATCGTAAAGGATGTCAAGAACCAAAATCCGCCAACGTTGAATCTTACATTATTTTCTATACGCATGTGTATCAATTTTGTTATAGGTTATAGGATATACTATCAAGTTATTTAAGGTCTCCATAATTTTAACGTCGATGTCATAACAATTCTTCTTCTTTAAGCTTTTGATTGCGTCTCGAACATCATTGAATGAAACAGTTCGAAAGTTGAAATGTAGTGTATCACTAGTCTGTATAAAATCTTTGAAGTTCGACTGGGTAGCTGGAATTTCAGCAATGCTGGTTCCAGCAATGCTGACGAAGAAAGAGTTTAAATCATTCGCGTTGAGAGTAGACGAATTAATCACATTCCACATAGCTGCTTGTTTATTTGACGCTCTACGTATATATTTATCATGGTCATTTTTTTTCTTAATTCGGATTTCTGATCGGTACTTAGATTTGAATACATTAATCTCTTTCTTTGATACTACCTGCGGATTATCTTTATTAATTTGTCTTATTAGTTTCAAATTCTCTCTCATCTGAGCCGATTCGTGATCAAACCAGTTGATTTACCCTCTGATACTAACCTAGATTTGATTGGCAAGTACTCGGCGACATTATTTGTTAAGATGTTTATGGATCGTTCGAGTTTAGTGGGCAGTGATAAACTAATATCAGATAAAAAGATAAGGTTTCTTAGAAGTCGACGCGTTCGTGAATTATTAAAGAGTGTACCTTGTACTACTCTGAAACAAAAGCAGCAAAGTAATGCTTCTGGAGCATCAAAAATACACCTTTCTTCCTGTGCTCAAAACATTGGGAATATAAGCGTTGTCATTCTTATGGTTCATTGTTTTTTTCTTTATTTGGTTATCATTCAGATAAAAAGTGAAAACACTCGAAAAACTATCTGGAGACAAAGCATTAAGATTACGTTCAAATAAAAATTTTGAAAATTCTTATCACATTCCAAAGAGGTTGTAATAATCCCACGTTTCTGTCTTGCCTACCGAACATTGTAATATCTCTTTTCATCAGGTGGAAGGAAGTCCCGTCGATGTCCTGTCCAAAGAGGAACTGGACCGGCTAGACAGCGGCGTAAATTTTCTGAAGATTCGGGACGTCCAGACCCAAGTGGTCCTCCTAAAGGGCACTGTGACCAAAGTGAAGATTCCACCGTCCTGTCGACCCAGTTACTCGGACAACAACATTCCCACACTTCTAGACCATCCGGACCACCCGGCGGCTACGCTGACAACTGGAGAGTGTTTCTTCGAGGACAAGTTCTACAAAATAGACACCTCGTGGGTGTCCTCCAAAAATTCCTGCAAGATGTGCTTCTGCCAGAATGGCGTGCCGAAATGTGATTACATGACATGTCCGGAACTGAATTGTCCCAACAACAATAAGACCCACGTGATCGGAGAATGTTGTCCGGTAAGTTCAAATTTAAATAAGGGAAACATTATTTACTTAGTCCACGATTGTTCTGCTTGACTGTCTTCACCGATCTTTTCGCAGTTTTTCACGGAATATTTATCAGGGTGCTTGCTAAAAAGCGCAAGACGCGTGTATTTTTACACACATTAGTTCTTATGGGTTTCTTCTGGTATCGGACTTAATACTGTTTTAATAGAACAGTTATCTAATTATAAATACCAAAATATAAGGTGTTCCACTAGAAGAAATAAAACACGTTCGTTGTGCCACGGAATTGTGCAACACTCTGTATATTTCCAAATAAATTAGAAATACACCCCTATAAGACAGCAATTTTGCTGCGCAAATGGTTTACGAAAATCTTTAATGGTTTTTCTATTAAAATACTTTCCATTTTCGTTGGAACCCGCTGTATATATACGTAGACTCGAACTCCACCATTGGTTGCGTAAGTAGGTAACTAACAAAATGCCTCTTGAAAAGTTTCAAAATTCAAAGTACTTCCGGTGAGAGACGGAAAAATCGAATTTTCACAATATCGTTTTGATTTATTCGTTACTTTGTTAGTAGTGAGATATTAGAATATATTAAAATGACATAATTAGAATTCCAATGTGACGTTTCGTCTCTGGTCCTACAGTATCAACTTTGATTTTGTTTCAGGTTTGTGGTGGGAAGGACCTAGCGAACGATAGCAACCACAAATGCTTCTTCAACGGCAGAACGTACTCCCCAGGAAGCAAATTCCACCCGTTCCTGATCCCTATTGGTTTCGACCTATGCACCGAGTGCACGTGCGACCCAAAGTATTTTGAAATTAAATGCAACAGATTGAACGATAACGAAAAATCGTGTACGAAGCACAAAGCACCAATCAATATCAACGATCAACTTGTTGAGGATGAAAGGCATCTGATTCACAACAGTTTTGTACCACCGAGAAAAGAGGTTCCTACCAAACCTGCGGATTTGATCATCAAAGAAGGAGGGTGCAGAAATTTAAACAACCCCCTGAAGCCGTATCAAAATGGAAGCAGCTATCACCCGTTCATTGGGTCTCTAGGAGAGTACAAGTGTGTTACCTGTAAATGTCAAGTAAGTTTTTCGAATTCTCTCGTAAAAACATGTTAGTCACAATCCAGCTACCCGGGTGACGTTGAGACACGTCGATACCAGGGGCCTGATTCTAAATGAATTTCGACCATTGAAATTGATTTCTATAGCACCTTGTGATAATGTACTAGATTCGCTATGATAGTCTTGACAATGCCATGATAATTTGAATGTTGTAGAAAATCGATATAAGGAGATATCAAAATTATTATAGCGAGTCAAGTATATCGTCACAAGGCGCTATCGAAATTAATTTCAACAGCCGAAACTCGTTTAGAATCATCCCCCAGGTCGGATGCGTCTAGGTTGCCTACGGTCCCAAAATGCAACGTCACTGTAACGTCATTTTGATCACGTAATTGGATCGTTTCTTAATTTGGTCGATATTGCCTCCATTATCACGTTATATGATAGTTATAGAATATTTCTATATTCGCATTTTGTATTTTTTTCCAGTTAGAAATATTCATCTTAAAGTTAAATGAAGGCATTTTATATATTTTTTTAAACGCATAAAATATGCGATATGGTAGATGAAACGACAGGCACGGGTATCATGTAAAAAACCTATAAAACTTAAAAAAACCTATAAGATCTCAACTTGCAGACTAGGTAGTCTTTAGGGCGGAACCGTCATTCCACGTTTGCTCACTAGGATCTTGGAGGAATCACTCAATTAAACTACGCATTATTGGTTGCATAGCTTTGTGAGGCTCAGTGATCTGGGTCTGTAGTTTTTATCTCTGAGAAGAAAGTTGGTTGAAAAGCAAGATCGCATCTGGATGATTATGTGTATTGGTCTGCAATCAGTGATAGTTGCTGTTCCACGGGTGGTGGAGGGACCGCACAGGGTAGGAGGGTGTGTAAAACACACAAAAATCGGCATAGTGACACTTTTCAAGATACGTGATACCCGTGCCGGCTTAAATCTCTTCAATGAAAATATCCATATGGTATATTGCCGTCATATAAACGTAAAATCACGTGACAATTCATGTAAACAGGGACGTCGCATAATGTGACAATATGTAGGTTTTTTTGATATTATATAGGTTTTTTGCGTAATAACCCTGTGGAATCTATGAAGAGATCAACATTTCTAAAGTTTTATGATTTGTCTAAGAATTAGCACTCTAAAGCAGAAACTGTATGGCTAACGTGAGGCAGAAAAAGCCCAAAGTGCGAGACTCTCTTTCTTCTAAACAGTATTTTTAACAATGTGATTCTTTTCAGAATGGTAACCAAACTTGTCAGAGGCAGCAATGCGATTGGTCCACGTGCAAGATGATGTTCGAAGTGCGTAAAGAGCGTAAAGCTAAGAAAATGTCGATGAACTATTCCGAATTCTGCTGCAGGCTGAAGGACTGCCGAAAGCTCAGGCACAGCAAAAATCGGTCGTCTGTCAGCAGGATGGTTGCTGATACCACCGTCGAAAAGATTAATTTCTCTTAAAGGTATGTACATTTTGCAGTCATGGTAATTTTACCTGTTCCGATATACAGGGCGTTTCAGTTTGTTGTTGCATAACTTTAAGTTTCGATAGAACTTTCAAAATTAATGCATAAAGTCTATATAAACATGGGTCGAAAAATGCGTGGCTTCCGAAATACAGGGTGTTTAAATTTACTTTCTAAAATAGTTTTTTAAAATATTTCGAACAATATTTGATGTATAACAGTGAAAATTGGTATACACGCATTTTTTGGTACGACAAAACGAACCATGGGCATAGTTTTACTCTATCCGCTAGAGGGCGCTCTCTACTGTACCTGTAGTGTATTAAAATGACGGAAAATTTTTCTTAGTGCAATTTTTTGCTTTCTGAATAAAAAATCTCTCCTGTGAGTTTTCGTTATAGTTAGCCGTTTTTGAGATTTCGATTTTTAAGGTTCGATGCATTTTTAATTATTTATGGGAAAATAATATTTTTTTTATATTTTCGATTTGGGCATTACAAGTAATTAAGATGATCGTTTAGATTGTGTTTTTAAACACAGCAATAATTCCTAACTCCAAATAAACACAAAAAACGGAATATTAATTTGTTTAATTTTCCAATATTATTTTTACAAATTAAATTAATTATTTACAACTAAAATGCTATTGGATAGTTAGGAGAAAAATACAAAATCTAAGGTAGTTGCTCGAAATGTAAACCCAATTGTTCAATACCTAATTCACATCTACGAATGATCGAACGTGGTATAACATTATTCAAATAAGGCCTTATTTCATCACATGCATTCCTCATTCTGTCTATTAGCATCTCTTGTGGTTACGGGGGTCTGGTACACTTTTTCTTTTAGAAATCCCCACACAAAGAAATCTAATGGATTTAGGTCAGGGGATCGTGGAGGCCAGGCAACTGGTCCTCCACGGCCGATCCATCTTTCTGGATAATTTTCGTCCAGCCAGTTTCTAACTATTCTCGAATAATGAGCCTTTAAAAATTCCAAGAAGGTCGCAGCATTTAACCTTGCAGGCAAAAGATAGGGTCCAAATAGTCGATTACGGTAGGTACCAATCCACACGTTCACACTAAATTCATGCTGAAAATTTCTTTCCCGAACTGCATGCGGATTTTCATGCGACCAAGTATGTTGATTATGAAAATTTACCACTCCACATCTAGTGAAGCATGACTCATCGGTCCATAAAACGTTACTTAAAAACTCCCTATTATTATCAGATCCAAAACCATTTTCAATTATTTGGCGATGCACTCTTGCAAATACTGAGCGAGTTGGATGTCGTCTGTTTGGAAATCTTCGTGCGTATTCTCTGGCTGCTTCTGCTGCGTTTCCATTTACAAAGCCATACACAAAATAAATATCCGCTAACTCTTGATTGGAGAATAAAAATTTCATTTTTATAAAACTTACAAAAGAAACAGGTAAAAGAAACTAAATTTCGTGCATTCACAATTGCAAAAAAACGTTTCAGGTTTCAACAGACAACAACTGTCAACTAATTGACGTTTAACCTTATTCTGCTTTCAATTTCAAAAATATTTGCAGGCACAGCCTACATCTAAAAATTATCGAGATACTGACTTTAACGTTATTTTATCATAAATAATTAAAAATGCATCGAACCCAGAAAATCGAAATATCTCAAAAACGGCTAACTATAACGAAAATTCACAAAAGAGCTTTTTTATGTTGAAAAGTGCGAAGAATCATTTTTTTTATTCAAAAAGCAAAAAATTGCACTAAGAAAAATTTTTCGGTCATTTTTATACACTACAGGTACAGTAGAGAGCGCCCTCTAGCGGCTACAGTAAAACTATGCCCATGGTTCGTTTTTTCGTATCAAAAAACACTTGTATACCAATTTTCACTGTTATACATCAAATATTGTTCGAAATATTTTAAAAAACTATTTTAGAAAGTAAATTTAAACACCCTGTATTCCGGAAGCCACACATTTTTCGACCCATGTTTATATAGACTTTATGCATTAATTTTAAAAGTTCTACCGAATCTTAAAGTTATGCAACAATAAACTGAACCGACATATATGTCGGCGTCAAACGATGAAATCCGTCATTCAATAAAATGCCTAGTCAGTCCCCGTATTGCCGGCAAACACCATAACAGCTTGATTATTACAACGTTTGACTAAGCAAATTTTTAAACTTCAACACCCCGTATCTTTTTAATGAAGCCGTCGAGGGAAAAATGTAACATAGAAGACCACCCTTGAAATGCGGTCCTGTGTATGATGTTTCATTTTTGGTCACGACTTGTGAATGTATTAGAATGCTTGAGTCCAAAAGCCACCCGCTCCCGCCTGAATTCGCCAGTGATTTACGAACTGAGTCACTGTAACACCATATGTTATACTAATCAGCCCCAAAAAGGTCAAAACCCAATACTTACAATATGTCAGTCACCTAAAACATTTATTGTTTCGTTTCAGGATGTAAGAAAATCCTATGGAGAGAGTTTTTGTAGAGTCGGCTAAGGATAGAAATGGAGGACTTTTAGGTCCACAGTTACCCTGAACCAAAGAAGACTGAAAAGGCAGTTGCGGAAAGTTATAGACGTTAGACGAGAAAGTGGAGCTGTCAATATTTATTTCGTAATTTAAGGTGTTTTATTTTCGTAACGTTTGGGCTATTCAGGGTGAGGCGGACACGTTTGTGCGTATTAACGAGAGTTCCGTCATTCCACGCGTCTTCCTCGTCATGGATCATAATTGGTGAATAGCTGCGGTAAGGTGTATATTATGTCATGCCAACTAGATATACTGTATGGTTCAACTCTTATATTTTTTAGTTGAAAAAATATACGCTTCCATACATCAATGCATCACGGAAATGTTAAAGAGATCGAAGTACGTTTTTGTCGGAAAGAACCTCCACTTAGCCTCTCTGACAAACTTCGAGCATTTTGTACCATTTTAGTAGTTTTTCATTCATTTGTGAATTTTGAAAAAAATTTACTTCTCGCGATGCTTTTCAATACGTGTACGTGACGTTCAAAACGTGTATCGTCTCACTCTGTGTAAGTTGTAATATAATTTTTAAAAGAGCAAAGTCAGATAACGACAGATAAGAGTATTTTAGATTTATTTATTTTATTTTTTTAGTTTCACGCGCCAAGCCGTTATCTGACTGTGTTCATGATAACGGAAACAATATTTATTTGACAGAAAAATACAATCTTTAAATTATTCCATAGGTGTAAAGATGATGCTTCTGAGAGTGAGATAGTCGAGGTTTTTTGTACTTTCTGTGCAGGGAGATGGTTTCAAACTAGTAACATTGACATTTTGAGCTATAAACAAATTCTTCTAACATATCTCATAGATGTCTTCCATTAGAATACATATCAAATCATGCCAAGCCAATGTTAAAAAAAGTTCAAAAGATAAAAGTAAGAACATATTTAAATAATTATAACTCGCATGCAATAGTTAACACTGAGTTTTGTCAGTTGACCTACTTGTTGGAATCATTGTTCCTGAACAAATTTCGACTAAGCCTTCAATCGCGCAAAGTCTATAAAGTATACAGGGTGGTACCAGTTAGTCGAACACTGTCAAGTGCTGCTTGAAGTGTCTTTTGATGCCTTAAGCTGATGACGGTAATTTTCAGAAAGCTCAAGTTTTTAACGTCGATATTTGATCGTCATTCTGCGAATTTATGAAATCTTCCTGAGTCATCGTCACTCCGCCACTGGTATCCCATGAAGATCTCGCCCACTGCTAGTTCGATGGGGGTCGTTTTGGACTGTTTTTGCCCGAATTTTTTTTTTTTATAAAAGTCAGATAATTATTTTTTCAATGTCTTCCAGCCTTATAAGTCGATTCACCTCAATAATGAGTGATTTTTTTATTCCCCAAACCAAAATATATACGTTTCTCAATCATAACTTATCAAATATAGGTCAAGCCTGACTCCAGGGATTATTTTAATAAATAACAAGCGATATAGGCGATTGACTCAGAACATTCTTATAAATTCCTACTGTATACTGTCAAGTGTATGTTTCACCCTATACAGTAATTTAACTATGCTCTCTCGCTACGTATCCGATCAAAGAAGGCAAAGCTTTGTGCGTTTGGAGGTGACGACTCAATATACTCATTAGAGAAGAAGGCTGATATTATGAAGACAAATGAACATCGCAGAAAAACAAAATCGCAATATGTATAATATTTATACTGCAATTGTTTTTCTGCGATAGGGTGTGTGATGATCGAGAACATTGGTTGTCAGAAAGCAAGCGAGCGTAGAAAACGTGTCATATCATTGGTCATATCCGACGATTTTTGCGACCATTGTTTTTGTAGTGTTAGCAGGACATATCTTATTGGTGCCATTTACGCGTGTTAAAAAGGTTAAAGTACTTAATATGGTAGGCTTTGTGAAATTTTCCGGGACGGAAAGTACGTCTACAAGAATATAGTCCAGTGCTTTTAGGCACAGTCAGTATACACGACGTGATCAAATTTCATCCAATAGAGCAATTCCTTGTTATGGTGAAAACAGAATGTTTCCAATCTTACGTATTGCAAAAAATATGACAATGTACTTACTCTTCTAGTTTTTCGGACAAATAGTACCTTGACCAAAAACGCAAAATTTTCCCTTTTAATATCAGTATTTGAAAAGCCGATAAACCCTGGACTATGAAGAAGCAGTAGAGGAGCATTTAACTAACAGGGTTGTAATGATACCAAAGCCAACCCTGGTGTGAAACTTGAAGGAGTGAAGAAATAGTACAGTCGGCGGTCTTTTTTCCTTATGGACGGAAATCTAATTTCAAAATAAAGAGACTGTTGTCATATTAGGCACTGTATGTACTATTGAGTTAAAGATGTTATTTGGCTGTGCATTGAAAACAAAATATGAATATAACATGGTTTGGCTTTGGTCTTTTGACACACCTTGTATAAGCATGTACATTTTATATTCGGAATCTCCTTACGCAATAATACAGTATTTCGCTAAATTGTTAAGTTATATGTAGTATTTCGCAACGAGTGAATGTAATTTTCTTAAATATAAGACCTACAGAATGTGAATAGGTTTGTATATTTCTTTTTGTGTACCCAAAAATTGCATAGTTTTTTTTATTTTTATTTTTTTTTTGCTGACCATACAAGGTGACTGTGTTTTGTAAGAGATGAAAAATGTCTCTTTTTTCTAGTCACCCTGTACCAGACTAGTCCTAGTCAGTAGTTTAGTCAGTTCCATAATAATTTTCGTTAGTTATTTGACGCAATTTTGATAATTTACGCTTTAAACCATCTCAAACTTCACCTTTCCTGTTCCATTTTACATGGACTGACTTATGTTTATATTCCCTGTATACAAAAATGTAATTTTACAAATCGTTGTTTCGTCAATCAAACAATTTCAAAAAACCGGTTAATGTTTTTGGTACAAATTACATTTTTTTATTATCATCATTCGGGTAGCTGTAATAGCAAAGATGTTTCAGATGAATCATGATATTCTGAAAACAGCTCCATATTTATTTCCAAAATTGTGTTGCAGACCAGGGCTGTACTTGTATATATTTATTGTTATTTCGGATGAAAGTGAAACCATATAATAATTTGTAACCTAAATAATACTAAGATATACGCTTTGTACATTTGTTTTAGTTTATAAGCACACAAGTCTATGTTATAGGTAGAACGAACTTATACATTAACTAACTTTTTTTTATTTAAGTTGTAATATAGTGATATGTGGGACTAATGAAAATTGCATTTGATAAATGTTAATGTCTTTTTCAATAGGGATTATGTAAATATTATTAGCAAATGCAGTACGTAACATGTAAAAGCTATTTAATTCTAAGTGTACCTGCTAGCTAGAAATATATGCTTCATTAATACACATACGTGGTTTTATTAATTGGTTACTGGAAAATTAAAGTTTGAAGTAGAACAAGCAAACGAAAATCAATTCTAAAGACGCAGTTTTATCTTGTCGCGGATCGCGACGCGTCAATAGATATGCAGGATGTTAGAGAAATAATATTTGTAACTGTAAAAGATAATTCCTTGCACTATTCTAAGCAAAAAAGTTCCCAGAGGGACCACAGCGGCAAGACCAGTAGAACTCGATCCATCGCTAATCAGTGGTTTGAAGAGCATGAAAGGATGGTTGGTATGCGTACGGTATACCGGGTGTTTCAGTTTATTGTTGCATAACTTTAAGATTCGATAGAACTTTTAAAATTAATGCATAAAGCCTTGATAAACATGGGTCAAAAAATGCGTGGCTTCCGAAATACAGGGTATTTAAATTTACTTTTTAAAATAGTTTTTTTTAAATATTTTGAACAATATTTGATGTATAACAGTGAAAATTGGTATACAAGGGTTTTTTGGTACTACAAAATGAACCATAGTTTTACTGTAACCGCTAGAGGGCGCTCTCTACTGTACCTGTAGTGAATTAAAATGACCGAAAATTGTTTCTTAGTGCAATTTTTTGCTTTTTGAATAAAAAAGCTGATTCTTCGAACTTTTCTGCATAAAAAAGCTCTCCTGTGAGTTTTCGTTATAGTTAGCCGTTTTTGAGATATTTCGATTTTTAGGGTTCGATGCATTTTTAATTATTTATGGGAAAATTATATTTTTTTTTACATTTTCGATTTGGGCATTACAAGTAATTAAGATGATCGTTTAGATTGTGTTTTTAAACACAGCAATAATTCCTAACTCCATATAAACACAAAAAAACAGAATATTAATTTGTTTAACTTTTTAACATTTTTAACAAATTAAATTAATTATTTACAACTAAAATGCTATTGGATAGTTAGGACAAACATACAAAATCTAAAGTAGTTGCTCGAAATGTAAACCCAATTGATCAATACACAATTCACATCTACGAATGATCGAACGTGGTATAGCATTATTCAAATAAGGCCTTATTTCATCACATGCATTTCTGACTTTGTCTATTAACATATATCTTGTGGTTACGGGAGTCTGGTACAATTTTTCTTTTAGAAATCCCCACACAAAGAAATCTAATGGATTTAGGTCAGGGAATCGTGGAGGCCAGGCGACTGGTCCTCCACGGCCGATCCATCTTTCTGGATAATTTTCGTCCAGCCAGTTTTTAACTATTCTCGAATAATGAGCTGGACAACCATCAAGCTGGAACCAGGCCAATCTTCTTAAATCTAACATAACATCAACCCACATATTTGCATGTTCAGCCTTTAAAAATTCCAAGAAGGTCGCAGCATTTAACCTTGCAGGCAAAAGGTAGGGTCCAAATAGTCGATTACGGTAGATACCAATCCACACGTTCACACTAAATTCATGTTGAAAATTTCTTTCCCGAACTGCATGCGGATTTTCATGCGACCAAATATGTTGATTATGAAAATTTACCACTACACGTCTAGTGAAGCATGACTCATCGGTCCATAAAACGTTACTTAAAAACTCCCTATTCTTATCAGTTCTATCAAGAATCCACTGATAAAATGTGATTCTTAGTTCTCCGTCCCCTGTCTGTAGTCCTTGCACAGGTTGCAAATGGTAAGGACGTCTATGGTCATTTCTAAGAACACGGTGAACATGGCTTGCTGAAATTCCCAAGGCACCAGAAACTCTCCTAACACTTGTGGTCGGATCTCTATCAAACTCACGCAGAATCATACGGGTAAATCTGCGCTGACGAACATTTATGTTTTGATCCCTTTGGAGATTTTCAAAACCATTTTCAATTATTTGGCGATGCACTCTTACAAATACTGAGCGAGTCGGATGTCGTCTGTTTGGAAATATTCGTGCGTATTCTCTGGCTGCTTCTGCTGCGTTTCCATTTACAAAGTCATACACAAAATGAATATCCGCTAACTCTTGATTGGAGAATAAAAATGGCATTTTTATAAAACTTACAAAAAAAAAACAGGTAAATGAAACTAAATTTCGTGCATTCACAATTGCAAAAAAACGTTTCACGTTTCAACAGACAACAAAACTAACTGTCAACTAATTGTTTAAACTTATTCTGCTTTCAATTTCAAAATTATTTGCAGGCACAGCCTACTTCTAAAAATTATCGAGATACTGACTTTATAACGTTATTTTATCATAAATAATTAAAAATGCATCGAACCTTAAAAATCGATATATCTCAAAAACGGCTAACTAAAAGGAAAATTCACAAGAGATCTTTTTATGTTGAAAGGTGCGAAGAATCAGTTTTTTTATTCAAAAAGCAAAAAATTGCACTAAGAAAAAATTTTCGGTCATTTTAATACACTACAGGTACAGTAGAGAGCGCCCTCTAGCGGCTACAGTAAAACTATGCCCATGGTTCGTTTTGTCGTACCAAAAAACCCTTGTTTACCAATTTTCACTGTTATGCATCAAATATTGTTCGAAATATTTAAAAAAAACTATTTTAGAAAGTAAATTTATACACCCTGTATTTCGGAAGCCACGCATTTTTCGACCCATGTTTATATAGAGTTTATGCATTAATTTTAAAAGTTCTATCGAATCTTAAAGTTATGCAACAATAAACTGAAACACCCTGTATAGCCGAATACGACAGTTTGGCTCTTTTTCTTATCGCCCACATTGGGTGCTACCTCTCACAGCTGAACATCGGCGTAGCCGTTTGCTCTGGTATAGAGAAAGAATTCTGTGGGACCGGGAATGGAATCAGGTAGTTTTTAGTGACGAATCCCGCTTCTGATTGGGCATGCAATTTGACAGAGAACGTTATGTTCACCACACCGTAGGAGTTATGCTATGGGGTGCTATTGCTTATGGTAGCAGATCACCCCTAATTTTCATCAGACGCAATTTGACAGCCCGACGCTATATTCAGGAAGTAGATCATCTTATTTCGTACCTAAACACCATCAAAAACCCGATTTTTCAGCAAGACAATGCCAGACCGCATATTGCCAGAGCATCGTGAGCCTTCATGGAGCAACATCGCATCAACCGGTTAGCTTGGCCACCACGATCGCTTAACCTATCTCCAATTGAACATGTCTGGGAGATGATAGGTCGCAGGCTCTTGAACTTGCAACACGATCCACAGACTTTAGCAGCTCTTACTCACGAAGTTGCACTAGCCTGGAATGAGATATCCCAACAGGATATCGACCACCGTATCAGCACGATGCCAAGGCGTGTCAGTGACCAGTGAGTGTAGGACAAATCGTGGATCCTCAACACATTATGACATTGTGACACAGCATACGAACATGCGCAAGGTGTGCGCGAAGATGGCCCCAAAAGTGCTCACTGACGACCAGAAATTGCGGCGAGTGGAAGTGTGCCAAGAAAATTTGAACATGTGTGAAAGTGACCCCCAATTTTTGAATAACGTAATGACAGGTGACGAGTCGTGGATCTTTGAGTATGATCCCGAGATAAAGAGGCAATCTTCCGAGTGGCACACGACGGCGTCTCCTCCCCAAAAAAGTGAAGAATGAGCAAACCCAAAGTGAAAACGATGCTCATTGCCTTTTTTGACATCAAAGGCATCGTCCACCATGAATTTGTTCCTCCTGGACAAACCGTCAACGCCAAGTTTTACGTGGAAGTGCTCAGGAGACTCAAACTAAGGGTCAGTCGGGTCCGAAAAGACATCGCAGCCGACTGGAAGTTGCACCACGACAACGCCCCGGCTCACACCGCCTTTCTTGTGAACAGCTACCTGACCAAGGCCGGCATCCCAACGCTTCTGCAGCCGCCCTACAGCCAAGATGTGGCCCCCCGGACTTTTGTTTGTTTCCTCGCCTGAAAAGGCCGATGATAGGCAAGCATTTTGAGACTACAGAGGGGATCCAAGCAGCATGCACCGCGGCTCTCAAGGCTATTCCAGAGAATGCCTTCCGTGACGTCTTCAATGCTTGGAACTCGCGCTGGCAGCGCTGCATCGACGCAGAAGGAGCCTATTTTGAAAGTTTTTAAAGAATTGTAACGATTGGCTCAATAAATTTTTTTAAATCGACTCAGTCCTATTACTTTTCGGGCAAACCCTGTATATGCCAAAAATTACTAAAATCGGATAAGCATACGTAGGTGTTTATTTTTTTATAAGTTGTTCAAAGGTCGTGCGTCTAGTCATAATAAGAGCTCTATACGAGTTGACTTCAGATAACAACTGAAACTCATCATTTGGTTGATTAGTTGGTAAATGTGCATGTTTCACTGACCACCAAATATAAGCACACATACCGGATTGAAAGATTTATTAACGTTTCGGCGACCTCGGTAGTCTAGGTCAAAATACAATAACAGTTTGAACACGTTTTACTTATTTGTATTCAGGGTGATGGATCACTTGTCCTTGTCGCAGGACGTTCCACAACTCGGACCCGAATTACATAGCTTAAAAAGTGACATATCGATTTTTAATTCTATTATTTCAATTTTGCCAAAAAAATGTCACCTTGGAGCAGTTGCCGAACCGAAAAACACGAAATCGGTAGTGAGTGTTATTTAAGTTTATTATATCAAGTAAATTTCAGGACAAAGTCTGCCGCAAGATGGGCAATGGATCAAGAACCTCTGCGACACGCAGCGTTGCCTATAATGGTACGATTCCACCAAAATAGTGTTCAGCACATTTGTTTATAAACATTTTGTGTGAAACTCCAGCATTGAATGTGCTCACTGGTATCGAACTTATATTCTGTGTCCACCGGCAAAGCAGTGCATAACTTTTGTAAGCGTACAGTGTAGCACACTTGTGCACGAACATGTTTACCAAGCAAAGTTCTCACTAACTTCAGTTCTTAATATGGATAGGCGGGAATACGTAGTGTTTTGTGCTGCAGCTTGTGTTTTAATAGGTAGTCTGCTCAAAAAGAAACGAAGAATAAAACCACGATGTTGGGTGA